GAAGCTGACTTATGGATCCTAAACAGGGATGTCACAATATCAGATTCTCTCTACACTATTATTCTGGCCCGCAAGTGTCAAAAAGTGTCAATTTATTTGTCTTTTCCCTATCATCTCTAAAATATATAGTTTATATTGCTGTGAAAACATCAGATTTAACAGGTTTCTTTATGTTTCTCACCAAAAAAGAATTTACTTTAACCGAGTACTTGTTTTTTCTGAATGGAGCTTGAACAGTTTAACTACCATTGGTTCTCAATCATGCCGAATTGTTGCGTGGAGCTGTACTGATCATAGAACAAATACGGTCCATTACTCTTTATGCAAAATTGGTGGAGTGCTCCTCTAAAGGCCCTGACACACCTACCCGATTTTGGGAGTCAGAGGCCATCAGAGGCAGCCGGGCATTCGCGGCGCCCTACTCTGGTTGGTGTGTCCCGCACCGTCGTTGCTTTACGGCACATTTTCACACCTCCCGCGGCCGATTCAACATGGCCAAAGAAAGTCGGCCAAAGAAATCACTCCGATTGGCTGTTGCCTCTTTTGAATGACGAATACACACTACCGCTGTCTGCTGGTAAGGACAGTTATTGCCACTCGTCGACTGAAGTCTTTGCGGTGTATTCGTAGGCGGGCGGCGTAGGCAGGCGACGTAGGCAGGCGGCGTAGCCGACGCAGGCGACGTAGCGGACGTAAAAGTCGGGGCGCCTTCGGTACGCGTTCTTTGGTCTCAGGTTGGTGTGTAGCGGCCTTAAAGGTTGCACGTGGGGGGACATGTCAGCACAGATTGACCCCCTGTCAGCAGGGTGGAGCTTGTGTGGATCCTCCCTCCTTATTGGCTGTAAGGAGACCTGAATGACACATGTAGGTCAGTGTCTGCTTAGGAGCTGAAGCGTGAAGTAATTTTGTCTCTGTCTGATGTAACTTTGAGCAAGAATGAGCCAATGAGCTGCAAAGCAGATGCTGAGGGTCCCTAATAGAGTGGCGAAGTCACGCCCATCTACTTCCGGTCCATGGGACCTTATTTCGGAAAAATAATGTATTGAAGTCAATGGAGAGAGAAAACTCATCTTTCGATCCCGTTTGAATTGTGCCATGAATTATGTTTATCAATCTTAAAAAATAATTTCCATGTCAAAAAAGTCACAGTTTGTTGTAAAACTGTTGAAATATAAGACTATGAAAAATACGCAACTAGAAAGACTACAAATCCCAGACTTGCGTAAGTGATGTCACAATTGTTTTCCTCCACTAAGAGATAGCTAACATCAGCGCCATATAGATATAGCGCTGGCTAAGATAAGATAACTTTAACAATATGCCTGTGTGCTTAGTACCAGGTTGTTATCATACCAGCAATGGGTCTTGCTCGTTCTTTCGCTTCCCGTCTGATGAAAGGACCAGAAAGGACCAGCTGGATCAAGTTAGCTACCTAGCTAGTAGCTAGCACGTTAGTTAGCATTAAAGCCTTGTCATTTTTATTAGCCTTAATATGAAGTAACATTAAGTAACCCAAAATGTTAAACAGTAAGAGTAGTAGTCATATTTCGTGAACCCTTTGAAGAGTACTGTCACCGGTGTGATCATTCTATAACAGCCAACCCCAATTAGCGGCCCGCGGGCCAGATCCGGCCCGCGAGAGGCAAATGCATGGCCCGCGCTGATCTACTGGCATTCGCTTGTTATAACATAAAAACATAAAATAAAATGTCCGCGGTTTCGCTTTATTTTGACCTCCGTCGACACTCGTAAACCTGACCCATGACCTTATCGCGTGCATATGCAAGACGTGCTTTGCGCGCTTGACTTACTCGTCACCACCTGGAATAGCGGCAAACACATATAAACAATAGCTCGCCAGCTAGCCGCCTGTCATCCCAGCCCAGCGATTGACCAACATGACACTAACGGGCCGTGGATAACTCAAACCCAGGATGGAATTCGCTAAGAAGAGGAAGGTAGACCAGGAGAACCGTCAGTTCAAAACTGACTGGACTGAGAAGTATTGTTTTTTTTTACCGGACCACGTCAATGCTAAACCGACTTGTTTGATTTGCATGCAGAATGTAGCTGTAATCAAATCAGACAACCTGAAGCGGCACTTCACCTCAATTCATGCTGCCAGTTTTAAT